TAACAAATCTTTTCAAACACATCAGGAGCAGACAGTCTCTCAGCATCTGCAGGACGAACTGATAATCAGGATAAAAGAGAGGCACTGAGAGAAGAAAACATCACTGCAGAGAAGCTAAATGAGTCCTTTGCATTGATTCATGCTCACTGTGAAAGAGACCAGGAAGATTATAGCCCTTCTCTAGGGAAGGCTCATCAGACGATCTGTCCAAAATTGAAGCAATCATAAACAATTTTAAGGAACAAACTGACAAAAACAAACAGTAACAAATCATTAGGACCAGATGATAATCTCTCAAGAGTTCTTTTAGAACTCATTAATTAAGCAGCTTAATTACTAACAGTGATGTGCAACCTCTCAAAACTGCCTTGATGCCTGAGGACTGCAAGAATAACAAGAATGACATCTATTATTAGTAAAGAATCCAAGAGAGATTGAAGCCTGATGTCTATACCAGATAAATGAGAAGAAAACATTAAAAAAGTGGACAGTTGGTTGAAGACAAACTTCTTGAAGACTCATGTAAAGTCAAGTCTTGACTTATCATACTCTTCCATGCGATCAACAAGTCTGTGCCTAAAGACGACCCAGGTGATTTTTTCTACATGCGTTTCCAGGAGACTTTTTTTTTGACAAACCCAATCCTAACTAAACCAAGCAGTCACGCCATAAGGGGGAATGTTCTGGTACAGGTTATGATGAGAAGATGGAGAAGCAGAATAGATTATTTATTCCTACAAGGGAGGAAGTCTGTGGAGTTACACAGACTTCTGTCCCGGGACTTGTCCTGCTCAACATGTTCATAAACAACTTGGAAAAGTCRGTGAGCAGCAATATGGCAGAGTCTGCTGATGACACTAGGATATTCAAAGCAGTCAAGATGAATAAGGACTGAAGAACAGAAAAAGGACATGTAGCAACTGGTAATAAAGAGGGAAATGAAATTTAAATGCAGAGAGACACAAAATGAAAAGAAAGAAAGCAGTCCTACCTCCACACATAAATTTACAGCCTTTGAACCAACCCTAAGAACTCTGAAGAATGATCTTGGCTTAATGACAGACTATTCTTCATGGGGATTCCACGAAAGGCTAGCTTAAATGCTCACAGGACAGCAAAAAGAKCAATCCAATTTTGGGAATTACTGGGAAAGAGAGAAACATGCAAGTATACAGTCTATAATGTGACCGCCTCTTAACTGCCATGTGCAGGTCTTGTTCATGGCATGTTGTAAGATGTTGAGAGCAAAGCAGCAAGGAGGCACCATCGTATGAAAGAGCCTCCACATCAGAAACAACTAAGGAAAAAAGGGCTTTAGTAAACAAGCATTCTTCAGCCTGGGAGAGGGAACCTGAAAGGAATCTGATAAAGTTTTAGAAATTCTAGAGTGGTGTGGAGTGAGTGGCTATCAAATAACAACTATTCAACAATTTATTTCAGTACTAGAACCAGAAGTTATCAGAGAAATCTAGTAGAAGCTAAATTTGAAACAAGCCAAAGGAATTATTTGTGCAATGCACAGTTGCTATGGGAACGTGTTGAGTATGTTAAAAACTTGCATGGGGTAAAGGAGAGTCTGGAGGAGCTCATGGAAAGGAAGGCCATAGGGGTTTGTTAGGTACACAGGCAACCACATCTGGCTGAGGAAGACTTCAAACTGAAAATAGGGGATTTGGAAAGCATAGATGATAAATATCACATATGCTTGCCTAGTTTTAAACTCTTCTCTAGGCATTCCATTTTTAACGTAAGGATAGATGGGCCTTTGCAGTGACCCAATATGGTTATTTTGTTTAACAGGCAAGTGCTGTATTCAGTGACTCAGATATTTAAAAAAATATTTTCTAATTAAATCCTGCTTAGACTGAAGTACAAAGAGCCTCTGTGGCTCTACAGCAGGCACAAGATTTCATCTACACAGCTATTAGTCTCACACCCTGTATCTGTGCACAGTCAGATTGAAAATAGCCTCTCGCCTGTACGCTGATCAAAGATTACATGGATTCTGGCAGGGCCCCAGAAGGCCACCTAAGCTCGAGTGACTGATAGAAGGTACTGCCCTATTTCTGCAACCGTCCTGCTCCAAAAAGCATGGCCTCCTTGTGGCTTCTGACACTAACCACAGCCTGAGAAAGTCATGCTTTATAGAGCTTATCTGAAGAGTTCAGAAGATGATGATCTGGAAGGAGCAGCAGCAGCTTGCTCAAAGATTTCTAGAGGGGGGTAAAACAGACTACACAGCTCTACAAGGCCTCTCCYGACACCTCTGTGTCAGGTGGCAGCCAGCGAGGGCTGTTTTCTATTTCCCCTAAGTACACTCAGACTTGGTGTTGGAGCTAAGTCAAGTAGAACATGCACTCCAGATGCTTGCAAAAGTGCCGCTGAATTCCTCAGTTCTACCTTGCAGTTCCAGCTGTCCCAATCCTGCGTATTCCTTACCTAGCAGTATGACACATGAAATTAAGGTCTTTCCAACTCAGTTTCCTCCCAAATCTTTCTCACTGAGTTCCTTTACCGCTCTTCCATTCCTTCTGCTCCTCTAAACAGGAGACAAAATGAGCTGGGAAAAGAAAGAGTTGAAGCTGCACCATGGTGAAAAGGGCAGAGACTRGCTGGGGTCAGCTGTGGCATTCACAGTGGGTGTGGTAGCACAGTATTAGTCACATTGCCAGTCCTCACTCATTCCACTTTTATTTTCACAATATTTAATTGTGCTTATTTTTAAAGTAATCATTCTGAAAGTACTTGAGAAATTCTTGGATACTGTTGTTTTATTAATATATTTTCCATTTTTATGGAAATTATTAATATATYTTCCAATATGTTTTTAGGTGTCACAACTGCCGATTAAAATAAAAATGATCCCATGACCTTTGTGACCTGAAAATTCACAAGACATATCCACTATTTCCTTCTTTACATGTCAGTTCTGAGCCCTATGGATTTTGAATRTTTTGCTTTAGTAATACTGATTTATCTTCCTTCCCGTTGCTTCTTTTCCCAACAGACAACTTTATTTACTCTGCGGTTGGTTGTGTTCTGTCCAGCAGGTATCAACTCCCTCTAAGTCACCAGCTGTCAGCACATGGGCAGGAGAGGGAAGATGAGCAATGCTGACTGCACCTCAGGAAAAATGCTCCACTCCTCACAGCTCAAGGGTTTATTGTATTTATTGTGCACAGGGCAGAAAAGAAGGTAGTTGCATTAGCCATGTCCCTCTTCCTGCTTCTGCAGGGCTTCAATAAGCTGACACCTGCATGTTTGTTTAAAATACACAGCAAAAAATATTCCGAAAACATTGCATGTATAATCATCACAACATAACCATTTRTTCTAATATAAATTATTTTCGTACTAGTTAAGATTTTGATAAGACAGTGGCAGTATTTGACATAAAAAAAAATGTGATGGTGTAGTAAAAAAAGAGATGTTCTAGAAACACGTAATAAGTAGACAAAAGAGAAGCTGATTTCTCCATATTACCCTCAGCAAACATTTGGAACTCAAATGGGAGCTTAGAATTCCTTGTGGCACAAACCCAAAAGCCTGGAAAAGTTTCCCCTAAAATTAGAAATTAAGATTGAGAGAAAATTGTTACTCAATTTAAGCTCCATATTTTCAGTCATGTAATCTGTCCCTTCATGTTTAGCTTTTACACAATCCTCACAAAGAAAAATATCTGGGAATCTAGTAAAATACCAGACATTGGGTATTTCTCCTATTATTTACATAGTATTCTACTGAAGTGTTTTTGAAGACTATACAGTGCAAGAACAGCCTGGAACAAAAAAATGCGAGTTATGCTACAGAAATGTTAATCAACAGACATTTAGAAGAAGAGAAATAATGTAACCTCTCTTCTCCTTTGAAGAGCACTATCACAGAAAACAAGGAGGCAAGGAAACAGGAAAGGGAGAAAACATTTTTATATTTGACTAGAGAAGTGATRTAGATTGTGCTGCACAGCTGGTATTACTGCTCTCGATTGCCTTGAAAAATAGCAGCACAAAAGATCTGCTCCTAACAATTGCCCAGGATAAATTGTGCAGGGTAACTAGATGTCCTTCAGCTAGCTGAGATTCTGAAGCAGCTAAGTAAGTTCCCTCCTTTTAAGGATAATCTTAGTGTGATTTAACATTCTGTGTTTCAAGACCTTCTTCTTCCACCTCTGAACRCTGGTGCTTTATGCAAAAATTTTCTTCTTCTTAAATTTTACCAGGCAATAAAACTGAGTAATTTGCTATACACAGAGCACTCCACTCTTACCCATGCAGCAACATTTTGAGCTGTGATCCTGGACCAAAATCACAAAGTCTGGTGCAGGAGGAGGAAGGAGGAAAGGAGGAAACACAGAGGAAAGAAACAGTGACAGTCAGTCTAAAACCAGCCCCTAGGATTGCCTAAGAGGTAGATAGCAAGTAATCTCTTGTAACTTTACCTAGCAATTTTGAGGTATTGTGGACAAAAATCTATCTACTTATTTCTAAGGTGCAAGTTCCAGATGTAGTGTCCTGCATGGTTTTCCTCAGCAGAAGACATCATGTACTTCTCATGTATATGCTGAAGTCATTGCCTTACAGTTTAATCAAGGAACAAATGTTCCCTTGCTTTCAAACTGCTTTGCTCTGAAAAGTTTACACTTTTGCACAGCAGAGGGCAGGAGAAATTCCTATCATTTTCTATCATTAAATATTCAAATAAAGGATTTATGAAAAAATGTATTTTTAAACCTAAGAAAAGTGATCAAGTACCGAGAGGAGTGTTTCTATATATGCAAGGATTGACAAGTTAATCAACTGTCTGTTCTCTGTATTGCTTTGAGTTTTAAAGCAAAATGATTTCATTTCAATTATTTACTACTTAAAAACACTATCAACCATTAAAAAAATTATTTGTTAAATGTGCATAGAAGTAGGTCACTGAAAACAGGCTTATACCCAATAATACACAGACACATCAGAGGATTAATATATAAAATCAAGAGATAAAAAAAAACTGACCTGCTTCTTCTGGTGCTTGTTTAGTAGGGCTAAAAATAAGACGTAACATCTGGAGCAGTCTGCCAAAGCTGCACAGAAGTCATTGTAGGAAGAAAGTTTGCTATAAACGTACAAAAATAAAGTACAAATGAATGTGATCTTTTCCTTGATTTTTTTTTTTTTTAAGTCACTTTGCTTTTGCCTCTCAGAACCATATTTTCCAACAAATGAAATGAGGGCAAATATTTTTCTTCTACTACAGGCACAGAGCTRCATAAGAACGTAACAAAAGTCTAGTTATGCCTGACACAGTGAAGGGAAGAGGGGAACATAAGTTGCTTCCCAAGCTACTTGCCATATGGGCTCAGCAGCCTAACTCTAACATGTCTCAGCATTAAACAGGACATGCTCATACTAAACATGGTCATACTAAAAATACTGCAGTAAGAGTGAAGTAGATAACCTTTTACGCTGGTGTAGCCAAACCAGCAAATATCCACATTGTGGTCCAACGACAACAGATTATAATAATACTTACAGACTCTGAGACACAAATAATTTGAACAGATTTAGGTATCTTTGCTATAAAGGAGATTCCTAGAAGTTACTCGCTGAGAGAAAAGAATCATCATTCTGTATTTACAGACAAGCAGCAATCTTCAAGTCTCTGTTCTATTCTGCACAGCACAAATTCTCATTTTTTCCGCAACTGCAATTTCMATGAAGCTAATTAAATTGATTTTATGGTTAATTTGTATCTTTGGAGCATACAGTTCACCAAACTTAGGAAAAATACCTGAAGCAGCAGGAAACTTTAAATAAGACAAATTACCTTATTCTACAGTGAATTCTAGATGAAGTAAAYGTCCTTCTAAGAAGTACAGCAGAAGTATTGATTATAATTATAGAATTATTACATAACTAGACACGCTTTTCATGGCATTTTACCAAGTAAGAAAAACACTCTCCTCAGAAGTAAATACCCTTAAACTGCAGTGGTCATTGCTAGAATTTGACATATTTAGAAACAAACAAACAAAAAAGCACCCAGAATTTGTCTCCTCAAACACTGAGATGGCTCAAGCCAACGAACCCGCTTTTGTGTTTCCATGAACATGAAGTTCACCGGTGGTTCACATGAATGTATCAGATGAATCACATTTTCTCTCGCATACTTAATTTTTTTTATTCACAGCCCCCACTATGACTGTAAGCTTGGGCATTTTTTTCCTCATTTGTATTAAATACGCTCTAAAAGTAAGATTAATAAATATGGCATGGTGAAGTTAATTAATAGTTACATTTTAGTGCTTTATGCTGCCCTCTTTGAAGCCGCTCGAGGCGGCAGCGCTGCCCTGGCAGCACGCTGGCACAGAGAGGCTCGCGGTCTATACGTACCTGAGTATCCGGACGATATAGGTGCACACGTCGGCGTCGCTGGCGCGCTGCTCTAGCGCCACGCAGAGCTCGGCGACTGCGCCCTCGCAGACGAGCTGGCACCTTGCCCGGGGTACATCGGCCAGGTTGCGCAAAGTAGCTGTCAGCTTCCCAGAGAGGAGTTCAAGAYGGATAAATCAGAGCTGTTTACTCGGGCGTCCATGCCGTCTTGAAAATTTAATAGGGCTGAGATCTGATTTGTAACATCTAAGGCAGCCTGAATGCTCTGTTAATGTGCTGCACATATGTATCTAGTGGTGAAACCCTAGCAGGAAATGTGCAAGCAACAAAATTGGGTAGAAGGAAGCAATTGTCTGAAAATGAAAGATTGCTATTTGCTTTTGCCTGCATGCAGCTTTGAGGAGAATATGATCTTGCACAAGTTTTTAAATTTTGTATGCATTCCAATGGAAACGTAAGTGAAATGCTATGAGCAGTTATTATTTATGTAATAAGTAATTTTTTTGCATAATGTCCAATTTTGCAAATCTGCATTTGAGTCCTGCAAATCAACAGAGACATTTAATATATTTTAATAATAACTGTAAGCACTATCTGGAGGTGCAAACTAAGATGAATTGTTATTAAAAGACAGCATAGTTTATTTTCTTTGATTGAAAAATTTGGAAGATAAACAAGATCAAGAGAAAGCTGGTATTCAAACAGTATAAAAATGAAACAGATTTAGTCCTCCGGTTTATTTCGGAGAAAGCAAAATATTTTCAGCAAATATTGTTCCATTTCAGGGAGTTTAAAGTAAAAAAAAAAAAAAAACTACCACTTGTGGACAGGCAAAATGAACAATCCACTGCATACCCAGAGAATCTCTATTTCTCTTGCAAGATAAGAATATTCAAATGCAAAGGTTAGACTGGCAATGAAATAAAGTAGTAGCTGATCTAAACCAGAAACATACTATAAAATTAAAGTGAGTTWATTTAATCTAAAGTGAAATTGAGGAATCTTCAGATTTTCATTATTGCAAAAATAATGTATTAATATTCAATATGAGATTAAATGTAGTTTGATAAGGCACAAAGACTATCGACATACAATGTTTTTAATCACAAGAATGGCTAGAAATAAAGCGCTGTACCATTAAGTTGGACTGCTTATGCAGTGATATGGAATTGCTAATTTTAAAGGAAGAGTAGATAATAAATCTTGCCCTGCCAAAGAGCAAGTTAAGCTGATGCCTTTGAGCAGCTTTTGCTCAGAGGATGAAATTACATACAGCATTTGCAAATTGCTTTCTTAAAAATATATGAGGTCTGGGCACTACTCTGTCCRTTCCCCAACACTTCGGAATTGGCTGCCCAATTTCAATACATTTGACAAAGGAGAGCAGGTCTGCGGCTAYTACTGATTTTAGGAAAAATGTGGTTGGAGAGGAGAAAGAGCCCGAATTAGTGTTTCGGTCATGGGAGAGCAACAAGGAGCAGCCTCCTCGCTGCTCGAGCTGTGCGGCACCAAACCGGCCGAATTCCACAATCCACAAAGCCAGCAGTGCCTGAGGGTGGCTAAAACATGATCGTGTTGAGCACCAGAGTGGAAGCACTCACTGCCACATGTAAGAAACAGGTAAGAAACATATATGTTCAAATCAAACGTGCTCACAGACCACCTAGTTTCCTTCAAATCCCTCGGGCCTTGTTTGTTTACGCTAGTACAGGGCAAAGATTAAAGTAATAAGCTTTCAAAAGAGAAGGCATCACAAACTGTAGTCTGTGATTATTTTTGTTATGCTAAAGCTTTTGCATCTACACATCTGCAATGTTTAATTGTTTAGAGTTATAATAATGGAAAAAATTACCAGAGGAAATGCAYTAATACTGGATTTCTGCAAAATGGAAATGTTACAGGGGAATCTAAAAGCCTGGGAAATGGACCCAGGTTGTAGGAAATCTCCGACTGACTCTCAAACGAACCTGAGAGATCTTTACAAAAATACATACTGCATTCACCCCTTGCTGCCTCCCAGTCCTGCTGGACTGCTGCTCCTTAGAGCMGCATGAATTCCAGGAGAGTTTTCCTGCATCATTTCTCACCATTCTCACCTTCCACTAYTTCTTCCTTCACTCTCCCTCTCATGTGCACTATCTAATAAAGCAATCTTTTTTTTGCTATCAAATGAATACTTTGCTTCATATCACTCTCCAAACAAGGTATTCCTTAAGCCCTACAAATATCCAAAATATTCTGGTGGCAATAGTCAGAGGACACTTCCCATATGAGCCCATACTGAACCCTTCTGAAAGCAGCTGTCCTCAGACTCACTGCCTACAGAACAGCCAGTTTTCAGGCTGCACTGATAACACTTTTCCAATATATCACCTTATTTTTGATGCTATAGAAAATAAGTTATTGTGTCTCCTTTTATATTTACAAAATATTGAACCTTATGACCACACTCAAATTGTTAAGGATTTTACTATTACAGACCAGTGTCATACAACCTCCAAAGGACTTAGGCTAAGAAATAAACTACTGAAACACTGAAAGACAGTATGTGCATGCAGCTGGTAATTAACTTGCACCTCCCTTTATAMTAAATATCAGAGTTAATCAGATAGTTCTGATGGATTGACCATCACAGAGAGAACAGTTATAGTCACTCAGAAACACTCTGTGTACAGACTATACAGAGTGTGTGTGTACATATATATATATATACACACACACACACACACCCCTGTATAGAAAATGTGGTTTCTGAATTCAATGAGTACTAAGAAAAGCTCTTTATGCTTTTCAATTCCATTCCCTTTTGAGGCTTTCTAGTTCTATAAAAGTTAACAACTTACTAAATAATTGTTCTTCTGTTCTTACAGAACAGCATTCACCTGTTTTTTTTCTATCTGCCAGTTAAAACTTGAAAGATCAAGTATGTMATAAAAACTTTGATATTATATCACTGATAATAGAGCAATTCCCACTTCTGTCTATACTGCCTGAACAATTAGCCCACATGGCARAAATTAAGGTAAACTGTTATGTGACAAGAGAAAGTCACATAATAGCAGGAATCACTACTTTTTTCCCCATAAGGAGAAGGAATACGAAGCGTCTTTATCACTCTAGAAGAGCTACAAAAAAGCAAAACTTCAGTACTAACACTATTTTACAGAGAAGAGACAGGTTTCAGTATTGACTTTTCTCCAAGACAATCCCCAAGGCCTTCTTTAAAAAAACCAGACTATTCAAACCATACATAAGTACCTTTTGCTACACTTCAAATCATACCGACAGCAGCAGATTATATAGACCAAAACAAAAAACATGTAATATTACCATTTCCTATGGCACATTTGCAAACTAATTCTTGGATTTTAAAACCAAACTCACCCCTCACAGACTGGGGCAGTGGGGAAGGAAGAGCATTCTTAAAAGGCACCAGGGAGATTCACCTATACAAATACTCCCATTCATCTCTTTGCTGCTTGGACACAGCTTTGCATTTTTAAAGGCTATACCTAGCAATTAATTCCCTTTGCATTTAACACACATTTCCACCTCTTTTTGCTCACCAGGAGTCCTGTTCATTGCTTAACACCAGCAGCAGCCAGCAAGCTTCATTCATTAGCATGTTCCAACCTTCCAAAAGCTGCTCTGCTCTGGCTTTTTTAACTCTGTCTTCCTTAAGTCATATTTCAATTTCAAACAACTGTATTTTCCTTCACTTTTTGAAATGCATTTCTCTTGTGAGAAAAGTTTATTCTAATCTTGTGCATTACAGAACTGATTTGTATTGACTATTTCAGTTTAAAGAAATTAGGAAAGGCACACATTTTAAGTTTAGTATAATAYACAGCACTCTTAGCAATATAAAGCGATAACAGAAAACAGTTTTATTCGGCTCCTAAAAACATTCTACTGATTTCAGGATTTCAAAAGGCTCTAAAATTAACCACACAAAAACCTACCACAATTAAACTTTGTTCTTGACAACTTCATACAATTTTTTAAAAAGTCCATTCAGAAAGCAATCTCTGTCAGTGATACAGAGTTAGATTTTTAGAAATAAAAATAAATGCTAACCTGTACTAATAGGTGGCCCAGGTTGGAAAAATGTGTGTCATTTTCTTTTATATTATTAATCTGCTTCATTAACTGTAGCAATGTTTCAACAGCTTGTTTGTTGACCATTTCATTAAGGAGAACTGCATTTCCAGACATGAATTTTACAGCTCCCATGCAATACAGGAGAGCTTCGCTGTTCTTTTGTAGATCTTCAGTTCTCAGGACCTCCAGCAAACAATCTAAAATGAAAAAAAAAAAAACAGTATTCATAAAGTCTAAGATTAATATTTTATATGTTGTAGAGTCCARTCCTTGAAGAGAATAACAGCTTGGGGAGGGGAGTGGAACTCTGACTCAGCTCTTTATAATACATTTTTAACAAGTGGGCCAGAAAAATTGGTTCTTTGGATTGCAACCAAGGGCYACTTACTGATGAATAACAGAAGGGCTAGAATTTATTTTCCCAGGCTTCAGGAACCACCACGAGCTGCAAATAYACATTGCTAACAGTTAAATTTTCAATCAAGATATGTGAATGTGATCATTTGTACCTGGAATTTCATGTATTAAGCCTGACACATTCCAAAGAGGCTTATTTTCRGGATTGGGCTTTCACCTCCCCCCGCCTTGGTACTTCCTGAAAAATCAAGTGTTTTAAACATCCAAATAGGCAGAGATGCCTGTGCTTTCAAATATTTTTGAAAAGCCTTTCTGTAGCCTTCTTAGCTTTACTATTTATGTTGTTCAAGCATCGTAACATTTTTGCTTTATGCCAACCACTGTCAGACACCTGAAGTTTTAAAATTAACATTTGCTTTCATAAGCCAAACATGTATTTCACAGTCAAAATGTGTTACAGATTATTAAGCAATCCTAGCCAGTTTTACACTTTTAAATTTCGAGCCAGCTAACTGCAGCGTGCATTCACCTCTGCTTGGACACCTTCCATAGAGGTACGTAAAGCCATTTTCCCCATCTCATTAAASCTGAGGACACTGAGCAGTCTGATTTGTTCTCTTGTCTCTGAGTCCCTTCCAGGTGATCTTACAACTGAGGAGGTCTTCATTCCTGCCACCATACACATACCAAATTTTAACGCTATGAGCATTCTCACTGATTAAATAGGCTGCCCACATTTTACCTGATGCAGATGAAATAAATGCTTTCAAGGTARTAAGGTAGCAAGACAAAGTTTCAATGAAAAACAAAGGAATGAATATCAATATAGAATTTAGTTCCCACACCTTCATTCTTTTCATATTTCTCATATTTGAAAAGTGGTAACACTTTGAAAAGTGAGACACTTGATAATAGTGTCTCTTGGCAAGAAATTCTTGATAGGAGAAACAGCTAAAACCCAGGAAAGAGMCATTTTTGACAGTTCTCTGAAACCGTTGGCTGAGTTTCTACAGTAGCAGACAAGAAAAGTCAACAATTGTTCTCAATACCCTGCTTGATGATGGCCAACAAGACAGAGGGCATTATCTTCCTTCTATAAAACCTTGGCACAGCCACATCTCGACTACCAGGGGCAGTCTCTGCATTTCAAGAAAGAGCCAGTACAGTCGGAGGAGCCAAAGAAAAATACTACTAAAACAGGAGAATCAAGAAATTTCTTTGAAGAGAGACCCAAAAGAGAGACTCCAAAAGGGCTCAGGGTAAGYCTTAGTATGAAAAAAAGGCAATCTGCAATATATGTGACTGAGGTTTACAACATCATGAAGGCAGAGGGTAAGCTGAGAGCTGAAACTCAAATTCTGCAATACTAGAACATGGAATACTTGATGAAAATAGCAGGCTTAAAACAACATATAGAAAACTTTTGGAAAGTGCTTTTCTATGAGACTGTTCACACAGTCAGAACAGAATTAGAAAGATCAGAAAGGAATCAGACAAATTAATGGATAAAAGATGCCACAATAGATATTAAAGTGATAGGCAGAAAGTACCATCTAACACCCTTAATATAATAATTCTGATGGTGGAATATGGGGAAAACAGCAGAAAATACACGTGCTTTGTGTGTGTATTTTCTCCTATAAGCCTGTATGTTCTCCCCAGACAGAATCTCCTACAGCCATCCTCTGACACAGGATATGGGACGAGACGGACCATTAGTTTGATCTAGTAGTGAGCATTACCAGGCAAACATCAACTCAGAATTTTTCTGGCTTGTGAGAGGATTAATCTAACTCTTGTATTTCAACATCTTATTTACAAAAAGAGAGTACATACCCAGTAATCTATCATTTTGGACAATGTAATCATTTTTTTCATTTCTGCAAATTTTAAATGCAAGCTTGCAGATGCTCAGAAGGTTTTTTCCATTCACTTTCATCTGCAAAGAGCATAAGAGACAAGAATCAGAACTAAAGTCAATATATAAAAATACATTGTAACGTTTAGAAGTTAAKATATCGTGGCAATCTTTGATTTTCACATAAGAACTCTCAAATATTTCAACCGAAACCTTAAGAATATAGAGGAAGCAAACTGAAAAGCTTGCAGAATTCAAGGACTCAACTATCTACCTGGTTTAAGCTCTATCAAACATACTGTGCCAGGTGATTTAAAATAGCCGGTGATACATGATGTACATGCTTTTATATATTTTACACAGGTAGGATACCAGTACTTTTTCTTTTTTCTTCTTCTTTAATTTACTCTTACAAAAGATATTCTGCACAAGATTCACTGGTTAGGCATCTGTGGCCATACAAAGATACTTAGATAAAGGTAAAAAGCAGTGTTTAATGAGCTAAAGATTTTTTTTTTTTCAAAAACTAAAATTCATCTCCACATTCAGATTTTATACAATTTTTATATTTTTAATATAGATTTTTATTTTATTACATATTATTTATTTCTTGTATATTTGTTTAAATCCCTGCATGTGGATCTCAGTTATAGGACACTGTCTCTTTTACTCCTTCCTCCTCCAGATGTAATTTCCATGCAAAAAATATCCTCCCACAGATGCCCATCTGGATGAAAGGGAGACAACAGTGTCTTGCTAAATGGTTACTTATTAATGAACATTTAATTTATATGAAGTCTAAAAGTATGAAGTGAAAAATCAAATGCAAGCAGTGATTTACAACATTTACAATTCTACCATATTACAAAAGAGCATTTTAAAAGACTTACAGACAGAATAATCTTTGCCAGTTTTAGGCAAAGTGGATCTGAATCTATGTCTACAAGTTTATATAGTGTCTTCAGAAGCACACTTTTCCTTTTAAATCTCTTCCCAAACATATTTCCTTCATTCAAGGTTTGATGGAGTTTGGTGCAAGCCAGGCAAAGACTTTCTATATTCTCTTCTACTTGAAATGGGCAGAAAGACAAAAAATGTAGAAATTAATGAAAAGTACTGTCCTCTCCAGATTTACCCAATAGATACAGACACAGGAGAAAAAAAATAAAGAGTAGCTTGCATGACAAAAACATCAGGCACCTAATCATTCTCTTAAAATGCTTACTCTTCAGAACAGTTTTATGTCGGTCTTCCTAAAAGAGAGGCTTGAAACTAAAGCAATCCCAGAGTAATGGAGCCAAAATGAAACACTTCTTCAAAATGTTTAATAATCAGATTGACCATATGTCCAGCAGGAATCTGTGAATCTGAATATATATATATAATATATATATAAATAAATTTATAAAAAAGCTGTCCTACCAAAAATTACACATAAGAAGCAGCACAGAGTTAAAGAATACTTTTCTGCCTATATATTCTACCCAGAAGTTGATGCACCAACTGCTGCTGCAATTGAGAGAGACTGAATGCAAAAACTCTTTAGAATATTTTGGTAGTAGATGAGTAAGATGCATTTGGATAGACAGTTGGTCTGCGGATGAAAATTTCCTCCATCTTCTAATCTGAGTGCCTTCAACATATATGTTAAAAGATATAAAAACAATACAATGAAACCACAAACTCATCATGAGATCATAAATCATACTTCAGAGGTAAAAAGCAAAGTGTTGCTCGCCTATTTTTAAAAATCAAATATTTTAGTTTTTCATTGTTTTTCCTGTAAAGTGACTTTGACAAAGGACAGAACAAACCTACTTAAGCTTCCTGTAAAAACTCTGCATTTGCTCAGGCTGCAACTCAATGTCAAAAATAGCCATAATCAAGTAGGCAAAAAACATTTGGCACAAACTAACTTATTAATAAAATTTAAAGCAGCCYGAGTTATTTCAAGGTTCAATCTTTTGAGATATAGTTAATTTACTCAATATTGTTTCAATATTCTAAGTCATTATATATTTTCGTGAGATATCCAACACCTCTTACACAAGAGGTTGGAAAGGAATTTTAAGACTTCTGTAAATTTAATTCAGATTTTCAATACAATCTAAACTTAAAGCACTGAGTCTATGCAGTATATTTTTCTTGAAGTGATTACTGCATCATTGACTACTAAATTGATAGACTCATAAACTCTAAGATAAGCTAATTTAATTACACAGGAACTTGTTTAAAACAATATTTTTCACACTATTAAGCCACTGAACACATGAAAGCATAATGAATTAAGTAGTTTAATTACTGCTAATTCTTTTACAGTAAACATAGATGATTTCTTCATGCCTGTTGCTGAAAGTAGTAAAGAAAATCCACACTTTCAAGAATCGTACCCACCATTCTCCATTTCACTCAGAATTGGCAGGATCTTTGTGCGCCAAAAGTTTTCTTCCTCTTCCGATTCTTTTACTCTTGTGTCCTCTTCCAAGCCTTCAAAATACATTCAAAACAAGAGCCCACATTTACTGAAGGTTTCCACTTCTACATAAATAGATTGTTTTATTTTGTAAGTCAAAAAAGAAACCCTCAAAATGTCTACATTGTTAGTTGATCCATCCAATTTTTTTAATTAATTTTCTTTGAAAGAAAAGTTTCAAACACAACTAGGTTGGACGAATTTTTTTTATATAAAGCTGTACCATAAATCAAGATATGCCATTTTTTGACATTACTGTTTCATTTGATCACTGAATTGGAAGACTATATTGACATCAACATGTCATACTAYCTCTCAGCTGACCTTCAGTTTTCAAGCACGCTAAAACTGTGCTCATGTGACAGCTGTATTAAGAAGATCCTCACTGCAGGCAATCCTCTGGGGTTAACAGTTTTAYCTAGTAAACGTGTACAGTTTATTACACTAAGCATGGTTAATTAGTGTAACCTAATTAATTAACACTTTGGATTTAACCAGGAAGCACGAGGAAACAAGTCTTAATCGTTATTACATCCTCTTAGTGGTCCTAACCGCTTCATACAATGAATCCCAAGGACTTCCTAAGTAAATTTATGCAAGATACATATTTCCTTCTTATTCTTTGTTACATGTTAAATTATTTGATACATGTTTTCCAGATTGCTATGTAGGAAACTACATGTTTCTGAAAGATTTTTCTCTTAAAAAAAAAAAAAAAAAAAAAAAAAAGATTTCAATGCAACAAATTTCCAGCTTTCCTGGCTACTCTCAACAAATTTACTCCATAATGAATGAGGAAAAAAAAATGCTTCTTCCTTTCAGACAACTTAAGAGTCTACACAGAGAAGGTTTTTTACACTTTGGATGTTCTTAGTCTGCTTTGAATATGAGAAACAAGGAGAAAATGTCCTTCAGGAAATACAAAGCTAAAAACTGGCAGACCAATCAACAGCTGTCTGGGAATCTTGAAACAAAAGTGAGAACTTRAGAATTTCTTTCCTGTGAGGGTGCCAGAGCCCTGGCACAGGCTGCCCAGGGAGGCTGTKGAGCCTCCATCCTGGGAGATGCTCAAAAGCCATCTGGGCAAGGACCTGCGCAGCCTGCTCTAGGTGACAGGGGTTGTGCAGCAGGGGTTGGACTAGCTGATCTTCTCAGGTTCCTTCCAACTTCAAGCACTTGCTGATTTTGTGATTTTTTTTTTTTTAAATGATTTGCAAGTAGGCATTTTTCATAGTTCTGGAATAGGCAACTAAAGGTTTTGTTATAATATTGAGGCTTAGGGTCTTTTTTAAAAACAATTTTTAATACGAAAAGTCACATGCGATTCCACTGAATAACACAAACAAAGCCATTAAAACTAAAGTACATATGTTTTGAAGTGATATCTGTCAAAGTATATCCCTCTGCTTAGTAYAAGCTCTTGCATTTAAGTGACCATGTAAATTTTTACTTATTCCACGCACAGCACTACCAAATACAAAGTACTCTACGATATGAAWCTGCTATCAAGAAACTTTCACTGTGAGAACTTCAAATTAATTACCTCAGACTTTAAATTAATGACAGTGTGCTAAGCATTACTTAGCACACAGCAAAACAATTAAATCCTCCTGACTGCTTTTAAAGGCCGCTGCTCTTAAAAGATGTTCATTTTTTAAATACTGCACATTTGTATTAACCATGACTCTCTATGTGTATTTTATATACCGAGTAAATCTAACAGTGATATTTATTTCAACAGAAAATACGGAAATGCTGCTGTTTCAYAGATAAGCAAGCATATATTGTTAGTGTGAGCATACACATATATTAGTATATATTATTGCATAAGTGGGTTATAAGAACTGTTATAATATTACTCCTTTTGCAGATTTCTCCCCCACCCCCCAAAAAAAAATAAGCTGATCCTCTTAGATTTCTAATGACCTGTAGCTTATTTAATAAAACACTGCACAGCATTTTCATGAAGTGTAAGTTGTCCTCTGGACAACACGGGCCACAGCTCAAACTAGGACACAAGAAGAGCTTGCACTGAACTTTCCTGCCACAAAAGCCACGTATTGATTCAGGTATTTCCTTCCCTCCTAATTTGTAGCTCTATTTCCTAAATTGAGAGGGGCGACTGACTTTTTAATCATATCATGCATGTACATAATGTTAGGAAGCAATATACAGGATAGTTCATACATGTATTACAGACACAACCAAGCTTCTCACTTGGAAAAAAAAATAATAAAAAAAGACAAAAGCTTTCAATATTTAGCTCAGAACAAACCAGACTACCACTTTTTTTCCCCCTAAATGTGATATATGACTTCTAGCTTTATACAATTTTTTTTTTCTGGCAAATATATTCTTTATATATGACATAATTCTTTTAAGCTAGTATCTCTTGTAACTGAGAAAAGAATTATAATCAACTTCAAACTAAGAGTATTAATCCTAGCAATAAGAACTAGCAGGAAATATTTGATTATAAAGAAGAGAAACAACAGTGAGTTGTAAACTTGCAAGTCTCTCAGTTCTGGTAGATTTTAAAGGTGCCAATGAAAAGTATTAGAACAAGTGGTATTTAAAATATTTTAGGAACCATCCTGAAGCTTCTAGCTGAGGAAATTACAATGCAACAGGAAAAATACTTGAGCAAAAAGTTCAGCAACTTGCAGATTCTGCTGTCTCAGTTTTTCACAGGTCTTAACCACAGCTTTGCATTCTGGTCAGGGGAAAAAAAAAGTCACTAATCGGTCTACATTTATTGGTTGCTGTTTTTAGCATGTACATACAAGAGCCTTAGCAACACTGAGCTTTCAAAAGCCGTGTACTGCCTGACTTATCGTGTTTAGCCTTTTCACAGAATACTGAGTGGCTACAAATACAGCAGTGCTAAAACAGTCTAGCTCCTCGCTAAAATGTGAGAGTATAAACATGATCATATTTCAACACAGAAATAAGCGGTACATGAATACTGTCTCTCAGTAGAGGGGAGAAATGATTGTAAAGCTCCTGTGCTTGCCCGATATTTATTCTCTGGTTAAGGATGAGCTAAGTATGAACAAAGGAAACAACACAAATGTTAAAAAAAAAAACACTAAAAAAAAATAAGCAAAGGATTATTTTTTATAACTAGCACAAATAATGATGAGGTCTATAATTAGGGAAAATACAATCCCACAGAGTACTCCATAACATGTTAAAATAGTCCCAGCTCCTTCTTAAGACAATGAAGGCACGGTTCATCACAGCCTATGCCACAGTTACCCAGAACTAGGCCTATGCTTAGCACTGGAAAAATAGTAACAAAGCAACAGCAGAGTAGAAACTTCAGGTTTACATACTAGACTCACTGGATATAAAGTATAGTATAGAATACATATACATATAGTATGTAAACCTGAAGTTTCTACTCTTATCTCTAGTTTCTATTATGTGGAAGAAATCTATTTGCTATGTATGAAATGACTCAGCTAATAGGAAATATTATTTAAAATCTGTTACGTAAAAATACCAAAATGCATTCCTACAAGGGAATACAAGATGTGTATCTCCAGCTAACATAGCTTGGCAAAGCTTTATCAGTTTTGGGGCAACTATGCCAGTTTACACAAACTGATGGGCCAACCAAGTATTAGCAGTTGGCAGGTTCTTAAGCCTGCACATGGGAAAACTAGCATTTCCACATGAGAAAATACCAAGACATTTTCACTCTAAAAATCTGTTAGGTCCTTAACGACCTGGATGAAGGGCTGGAGTGCTCCCTCAGCAAGTTTGCCGACGATACCAAACTGGGTGGAGTAGCTGATAGCCCTGAGGGCTGTGCTGCCATCCAGAGGGACCTGGACAGACTGGAGGACTGGGCGGCGAGAAACCTCATGAGGTTCAACAGGGGCAAGTGCAGGGTCCTGCACTTGGGGAGGAATAACCCTGGACACTAGTACAGATTAGGGGTGGACCTGCTGGAGAGCAGYCCCMCAGAGAGGGACCTGGGTGTCATGGTGGACGACAAGTTGACCATGAGGCAGCAGTGTGCCCTGGTGGCCAAGAAGGCCAACGGGATCCTGGGGTGCATTAAGAAAAGCGTCTCCAGCAGGTTGAGGGAAGTGATCATCCCCCTCTACTCAGCCCTGGTGAGGCCACATCTGGAGACTGTGTCCAGTTCTGGGCTCCCCAGTACAAGAGCCCAGAGCTCTTGTGGAGCTGCTGGAGAGAGTCCAGCGCAGGGCTACCAGGATGATCAGAGGCCTGGAACATCTGCCCTATGAGCAAAGGCTGAGAGAGCTGGGCCTGTTCAGCCTGGAGAAGAGGAGGCTGAGGGGGGACCTGATCAGCGTGTATAAATACCTCAAGGGAGGCAGTGAGGAGGAGGGGGGCGGCCTCTTTTCAGTGGTGGGCAGGGATAGGACTAGAGGAAATGGCTTCAAACTGAAGCATCGGAAGTTCCACAGGAACTTAAGGAAGCATTTCTTCACTGTGAGGGTGACAAAGCACTGGAACAGGCTGCCCAGAGAGGTTGTGGAGTCTCCTTCTTTGGAGATCTTTAAAACCCGCTTGGATGCAGCCCTGTGCCACGTGCTCTAGGTGACCCTGCGTGAGCAGGGGGGTTGGATTCGACGACCTCTGAGGTCCCTTTCAACCTTCGGCATTCTATGATTCTATGATTATTTTTCTACACCAAAAACACTAAAAAAGCATTGTATTTAGAAAACCAAAAATATTGTTCAGTGAAAAAAAAAAGATCTTTAAATCACAAAAGTTAAGATTATTTCCAATCGATTGTATTTTGTATCTGCGAATGTACGGAAAAAAATATAACAATGAAAAAGAACAACTATTCTGACTAGAGACTGAAATGCTTTATCAAGTACCTGTTAGTCTTCTTTTCCCGCTCATATTTCTTGTACATGATGAACTCGTGTCCAGCTTTTTCATCTGGTCACTAAAGGATGCAATGTAGATAGACACAAAATATATCAGAATGGGATGCTTAAATGTTTCCTCTTCAAAGGCACGGAATAGGACATCAGCATTTCAGTAGTTCATTGGAAAAGATGAAAGCTGAAGAAGCCAAGGTATTAGGTTATTCACTCAGAAAAAAAAAGACACTTGAATATAACTTGCTCCATAATATATTACAAAAGTAATGTATTACAAAAAGATCCTTCAGAAACACTGACATATTTATACCACAAGAGGTCACCATTATAGAATAGAAAATGCAAAAGCACTTCCAGCTGCACAATAAAATTTAAGGCTGAAATAAATCATGCTCAAAATTACCCATTTTTTCTCATCAATTTCATTAGCTGAATATAAACTCAAATAGTTTAAAACTGTAAATTCATCCATTCACAAGGACAGTCATTTCTTCCGACAGAATTACCACTTCGGGAAGATCTAATGAATAGCATTTTCCAAGATAGAAATAACCTAATAACCTTTAATCTACAGAGTAGAATTCCCAGCTTTGCATGTGATCTATTGCTAACTGCAGCGATTACTGTAGTTCGTTAAAAAACAGGCTATGCTGTCATTTCTTTGTAAAGGTAGGTAATGCCCCGATTCCTCATGCTTGTATGACTAGCCCTTGTTTGGCCAAACAAAACTATTACATACACATATGATAAATCTGTTACACTACCTGCATTTTCAAGCTGCATTGATCCAAAAAAAAAAAAAAAAAAAAAAAGGCTATAGACTTCCATTATTATTATTAAAACAGGAATCTTTCCCTCCCTTAAAATCCTGTACTTAAAGTCTTGGTCTATTGTTTTCTACTCTCGGTTTCTAATTTAACAGCTCTTATTCCATTTATAGCTCATGTACCAATATAACCTAATCTCCTAAATTTCCTTTTACAGATAAGAGCAGTGTGCCAGCAATATTATTGGAATTTTTTTTAACCTGTTAATTTGGTTGCTATGAGGCTTAAAGCTAAACTCTTGTTTAAGTGGTTTGCTGGATTGGCGCCTAAATCCTGTCTGCCAGTCCAGACAGGAGATGTAAGTCGTCCTATCAACAGATGGAGACAGAATAAAAGACAAAGCTCTTGTAAGGTCACTTCCCTACAAGAGAGGGACTACAGAGCTGATTGCCATCGGTCACAAATTTCCCAAGCAATTACACGACAGAGGAACACTTGCTTCATTATGGTTAACAGTGAATAATGCTTTCTTTTTAAAGCATGGGGATTTAAGTGCTCTATGATCCAAATCACAGCTTATACAAACTGTCTCTAAATTATTTCAGCTCATACGTGGCAATTTCTACGTTTCTGGGGAAGCAACGCAGAAACAAAACCAAAAGAAAGCAAACCACAAAGAATAAAAGAAAATTTGCACCTCTAAAACTGACCACTGTCTGTGGACACATAGATTAGAAACGACAGTCACCACAGCACATGATAACTACCGATAGCAGTTCAGTGTATTAACACAAATAAAACCTGGTTTCATTTATATCTTGTCCTGTAGACTTCAAAATTTCAAGAACTGAAACCATAAGGTTCAGTTATGCTTGACACCAAACCCACAGACCCCACAGAGGTGGCTGGGCAGACAAGAGCATAACTATTTCAGTTGCCCAAGATACAGACACCTATCTTCACTCCTAAGAATGACATGTACGTACAATGAAACTGTCTGCTTATATTAATAAGGATTTTGAGCGTACTTTCCTTACCAAAATAATCATGTATCTCATGTCTCTACCCCCATCCCAAAAATATAAATCCATAGGATGAATCCAAGAAAACTCAACAGACAATCCTAGAAGTTCTGTAGGAAACAAACTGCTGAACAGAAGAGACCCTGAAGCAAAGGACGTGGTAACCTGAACACTTATCAGAGAGATACCACACGCAAGGGACCACAAGAAAGTTTGAAAAAAGGAAGAGAAACAAAGAAAAAAAAAGTTCCCTCAGAGCCTCGTCTTTCTTGAGCACCAAGATCAATCAGCTGAGAGATGCAAGTGCGTAGGAAACCAGACTGCTGTAGCACTGCTAATCACAGACTTGTCTCTACTTCAGGGGAAATATGTCCCCATACCTTCAACAGCTACCGGGAGCTGTCATTAGATCCTGGCCCAGAACACGTCGAGTATGCATATAAGCGAGACCGACTGCAATGCATACTGATCTTTAGGAAGAATACACAATTCACGGATTTTGAGAGATTATAAAATCCCTTTAGGTATCTTTACCATGCTGCCAACTGCATTTTAGAAAGAGGCTTGTGATTTTTCTTTTCACTTTCTTATACAACTGAAACTCTAAGCAGCACTCTCTCATTAAGAGCCATCCAGTTAAAATGTAATCAACTTATTCTTAAAAGAACGTTACCTCCTCTTGAGGGGAACTGGCTTGTCAAGAGAAGGGTTGCCTTGGAAACACAGGGAATTGGCAGAAATCTGATCATCCGATAMAAACTCATCAAGGAACAAACTGACAGGGGTACTGAGGATTTATAAAGGAAAAAATGAACTTGGCAACTGGATCATCTCTACCTTCAGCAGCTCAGGTAAGGGAGATCAGAGGAGCCCCTATGGAAGATGCTGCTCTCTTGAGTGTACAGAGACCAGGTGAAGATTTCCAAAGAGTCCAAGATAGAACAGCAAGATTCCTGATCCTGGAATCAGGATTTTTCCTCAGGGGGAAGAAAGGGGGGAAAAAAAGTTAAGCAAAAGGAACATTCAGAAACACAAAAAGTGTTTTTTTTTTTTTTTTTTCCCATTTATATTTCCTTGTATTAACATGGACTGTGCAGTGTCATACGGTCACAAAGCCAGAAAATCACTATATTTATTATTATTAATTTCCTTGTTAGTAGCAAGCACTTAGTGTCCTACCCTTTATTATCTAGTTCCAGCTAAGAGGGACTGCACAGGTAAATGTTAGCACAAATTAATGCTTCTGTACAGAACTAATAAGCAGTCAAAGCCCAGGATCCCACACAAATTAAGACCAGTGGGAACATCCTCTCCAGCCTCAGTAAAAGTGCTGGAAAATATACCTAAGTTCTTTTTCTTCAAAGAGTAGTTAATTTAGAACTCAAAAATATAGCTCAAATTCTTACAAAGGCCAGTTTTATCCTGGGTCCTTTGCATGATGACCTTTTGAGGTCTTAAAACATTCTGCAGCAGTCTCTGTCTTTTTACAAGACTCTGAAATGAACCTGTTCACCACAAAAAAGTTGCAAACTGTTTATACACAAAGAGAACCACTGAATCTCAGCTTTTATAAACATATGCTGTGTGCACTGGGAAGACAGATGTGATGCATATGCACCAAAACACACAAAAAACCCTCTCTCCTCCCTAACACACGAAGTCTTACTTACTAGTGAGAAGAATAGATCCGCAGCACTGCTAAGCAGCTCCTGGGGACCTGCCAGGGCAAACCATAAGCATAAGGACTATTAGGTACAAAGYGGTTCCTGCCCAACCTAGGCCAGAGTTCAGTCCTCCCTGACTGTTGGTAATCCTGCAACAGGCAAGCCATTTAACAGCAGCGTTGCCTATAGTAATGTATATTGGAGATATACATTATAAATGTATGTGTTTGGAGTGTGATTATGTCTACCCTATAACCTGGGTTTATTTTTAATGCCAGCAATATGCAAGATGGCATGCATTCTACGTAGTCTAATGTGCAACAAGTTCTGTCTTTCTATTTTACTCTGACATTCCCAAATTCCAGACGAGCTAGAAAGGGAAAGTTGCAAGATATTGTGGAAGTATATACACAACAAGGAAGTTGTAGATAACAGGAGTCACACGTAAATAATGAGTTTTTCTTCCTTTGAGTGCCTGTCATGCAATATGTGATTTCAAAACTGAGTCATACTGTGATGATTTTCACAACTCCACAGAAAAATATTACCTGGAAAAGAATCTCAGAGCTCCTTTGGGTCTTGATTCAGCGGGTCAACATCATGCTGTGAATCCTCAGAAAGAGCACTGTGCTTAATAAGGTATGAACAGAATTTCATAATAACCCTGCAGAACTCATCTAGAGGCCCATGGTTGCTTGTGCTTTGGCCAAGTGAGCCTTAACTAACATGGGGAGGTAAAAGGGAGAGGGAAGAGTTCTTGTCATACAATTCAGAGCAGGGGTGGGTAAAAAAATCTCCTGGTTGGAAACACACATTTTTTTAAGATAACTCAGCAGCAGTCAGAGTCCTTYCAAGAAGAGGCTTTGCTTCTGTGACCTTAGAAACACATGAGGCCCAAAAAATAAACAGCCCTGGAAATAAATTGTCCAGATCAAGCTAAACTCAAGCATGACAAGTATGCCTTACTATATCTGACTTTAAAAGAGGAATCAGGAATCAGGTTGGCACAGAAAACATGTATTAATTTCCCTACTATGAAACCAAGGTGCTCTAGAAAACAAACAAGAAAAAAATGGCTTTTTTTTTGACGACATGTATGACAAACAGAATATCAGGATACTCCTGTTGGGAAGAAATACTGTAGTGTCACTGTATACTTGCCATGGGTGATCCATCAACTTTAGATGCCCAAAGTCATTCACCAGACAGCGTATAAATCCCTGAAAGCCAAGTTGGTGAAAGGTGAATTCTTCATTGTAGTTCCCAAGGCTGAGCATTTCTCTCCATCACACAGCCTATTTGGTTATGTGAAGTGTGGAGCTTATTCATCATTATTAGAACATGTTGTCCTCAAAAATGAGGCAATAAAGCACATTCAACATAATTCCCTACTCATCATCTGCAGTACATTGACAGAAGAAACAAGCTTTTCCATCCATTAATAATCTCAAGCCTTTAAAAGAGCAAAAAGTTTCTGCTCCCCTAGGGGAAGGGCAACTTTGATAAAGCTTCTGGASAGAAGGAAAACGGGAAAAGCCATTGCTCCACAGAATGTTAAACCAAGAGTTGCTCTTTTCTTGGAAGAGATGCTACACAGTCAATGGAGCAA